TGAGGCTGTACAATCTTTTGAATATAGACGTAACTCCAATTTAGATGTCAGGGAAGAGTGATAAGCGTCACATTACAGTCATTCAAAAAAACTGTTCACGTGATAAAAACAAAACATGCAATATGCATTTATTTTTTTTCTTCGTAACGGAAAGTATATTCTGACAGAAGTTTCAAATAAAAATAAACACGAATGCATTGCTTATTGATACGGTTACTAGAAAAGTATGGTACAGAGGGTACGGTAACGCAATCCATCCATGCTTCGGCTCACAAGTGAATTAACTTGATTTTGAAGTGTTGAAATTATTGATTATTACTTAATAGTGATCACAATAACGCACGAAAAATAAATTCGTTCTATTGTTATCAAATGCAAGTAAAATCCTACTTAGTTTCACCGTAAGCGAATGATTTCGGTCACATGTAAACGATTGATGCGATACGATATCCGCCATGTTGTACGAATGCACACGAGACGTTTCTTGATCGGATAGGTCAAGTCGCTAATTAACCAATCAAAATGCTGCATGCTGCCCACTTTTTTAAATTACCTTAGTTCATTTAAATATGCAAATGAGAGTTCACCGACTTGATGGTGAACGCAAAACGGAAGGGTTTTACCGATAATTCAGTGTGATATTTTATCTTTGATTTCCGTCAAGAAATTAGTTGTTTTCAAAAGATAAACTGAGCATTGAAAAAGAATTTAACAGTTCAACAGCTCATTGTCGAAAACTTGCAGCACCCGGGCGTGTTCATACGGAGTATTGACAAAGATTGCCACAAGAACAAAAGCAGTTTGTCGAAACAAATGAAAAAGATTAGGAAAAAAAAAATTACGTATCACATTAGAATCATTTGCATTTGACATGACAATAATATTGATCTGGTTCCAGTAGTTCTATTTGATATTTTTAGTGAATGAAAAAAATTACAAAAAGTATGTCGCAGGGTTTTGGTGCCAGCACAATCTCAAAAATATTAAAAATTATATTATTTAATGATTAGCATATTTGGGAGGGAGACAATAAACCCCAGTCAGTTCTCAATGTCTCCCTTGTCTAGAATTGTAATTATCTATTATTAACACATTGTATACTTACATAGTTTGTAGACTATTTGGGTATATGGTGTACAAGATCCCACAGTATTTGTAGCTGTGCATATTGTCTCTAATGTCACTATATTGTGAACACATAGTAGAAAGCAGTTGAATAAATATTGTTTGACTTATTGTACTAGCAAGCCATAGTTAATAAGTCCGACAACAGATGCCGCTAAGAGAAACGTTCCCCTTTTATACCCTTGCTCATTTATGATTCGAGCAAGGCAATAAAAGGAGTTACTGAATTGCTACACCATCCCCAATACATCCCTTGTCTCAAATTATGAACCATATTTGTGAAAGGAAAGTAATCCAAGATTAGTACTGAATATTACTTACTGCCAGTTTTCAAAACACTTGACTTCACTTCTTGTTCACCCTTGGTGTTAGTTGCTAGCACCCATACTGTATACTCAGTATCTGCTTTCAAACCCTCTATTGTATATGTATATGATTCTGAACCATCACCTTTCATCTCAGTTGATTTAGCTTCATCCAGCGTTTCCAAGTTCTGGTATTTCACCGTGAATGTTTGAGGGCGCCCTCCATTAAATCCGGCAGTCCAGGTGATTGTTATGGTTGTGTCAGTGACGCTTGTCTCAGTTATTGTGGGTTTTTCAGGTATGGCTACAAAGTGGGAATTTAGATTGTAAAACATTTTGGCATAACATAGTAGTTATAGCATAAGACTCACGATCATTAGAACCAAGTTCAAATCTTGTCATAAACTCAACACCAACAACCCACAACCATGGGCGAGTGTGCCGCAGACAGTTCCACTGGCGGAAATTCACTAAGTTTTGCGACTTTGGGGGAAACCATGATTAATGTCTACAGGTTCTTGTGTTGGATCAAACCTGGTTGATGCCAGGATAATACATTAAATTGCCATTTGATATAGAGATGTCCACACAGCCCTGTCATGAAGTCCTAAACATGAATATACTTCAGTAGCAAAACTTCTCTATGTGTCAACACGAGTACTGGCAGTTTCCACATACAAAAACAAGCAGCCTCCGCAGTTAGCAATGCACATTTCAATTAAAGAACTGAATATATCATTAGAAAATCAACAAATCTGAGCGAAGTCTACCCAGGGTGCCTATATATATATGTATGGTATCAAAGCAATCAGACTGCTGTTTTGAACAATAATTCGAAATATCACTTTTTACCAAAAATATTCTCCGAAATTGAATAATCGAAAAAATCATCGTGAAATGAATGAATCTGTGAGTTGCCTAACGGTAGTACCTACATGTATAATATATAAAAGCAATTCGACTTGCGGTTTTTAACAAGAAGTTGACACGGACGATGGACAATCACTCATATGATAAGCTCTGCTTTACAAAGTCAACAGTGAAGCCAACAAATCAGAGGAGTGACATTCAATGTATTACATTTTGAGCCATTTCAAAATAAATTATTTTACTTAGGTTTTGTTTTCTGGAAAAATGTAGAGCACGATTTGACACATTCTTATAAATGTACTATTATTTTGTTATTTTTGGACAAAAAGATAATTTTCTATTTTGTTGACCATGTGCACTGCTGGATGCTGAAATTGTGGTGCAACATTCTACAAATTTATCTATAATATCTTTATTAAATCAGACTAAATGGATACCATGAAACAACAGGCCCCCAAAGTAATATTCTTCACTACTTACTTATTGGAACAAGTTCAATCTGCAGCGACTTTGTTCCAATTTCGTTATAGGCCATACAATCATATCTGCCGTAGTCTTTTGCAGAATTCACTTTCTCAATTGTTAAGGTACTAATAAAAAGGTTATCTTCGTATTTCTCAGCTATCTGTAATCCTTCAACGTCATTGGTTAGCTCACCACCAGCTGAGTTCAACCATTTGAACTGGGGATCAGGGAAAGCATCGGATTTGCATACGAGAACTGCCATTTCATCTTTATCAACTGCAACTTTGTCAACAGCATCAACTATATCAGGAGAATCTAAAAATAAAAATGTACCGTTGGTGAGAGGTAGCAAAAAATAATTAACTTTATTTTTATTAGTCAAATACAAACTTTACAATAGATACAACA